TTTTCAGCCTTCTTCCCTGAAACAAACCATTGTTTTTTTGTTTTGTTTTTTTGTGTGTGTGTTGGGGGGGGGGGAGGAGGAGAGACGGAGACCCATCTGAGCTGCGTGCCGTTTGTACCGATAGCATGAGGGAAGAGCTTTTTAGCTAGCGTGCCTACATTGTGCACCGCTAGCTTAGCGCAACGTCAGTGCCGACTGGTTGTGCACAAGGCACAGCACGGCTGTGCCTTATGAGAGGAAAAGTGAGAGGTGGCACCACAACATTAATAAATCAGCAGTTTATCATATCACTAAAGACACGGTCCCAGTCTCAACTGTGGAAAAAGACGGCTAAAGCTAGCCATCTTGTTAGCCGCTAAGGTGAGGACTGTGTCTTTTGCAATATGATAAGCTGTTGATTTGACCTGTGGTTTGTTTCAGGGAAGGAGGCTGAAGTCTGTCAGACCTGCAGCTGCAGTTCACACATGCTTACTAACGTCCTGAAGGCAGCGCAGGTGAAGAGGATTATTATAAAGGTCTAAAAAACAAACTAATATCTGCAAAGTTATTTTTTTATTTTGTACAGTTGCAGCTGTTGTTAATAAATGTGCCTGTGTGACACCTGGGACAAAACTTTGACTCAAATATATTTTTATTATTACTTTATGGAAAGAAAAAAAAAAATTGATATATATACAGACCCTTTCCAAAAAATTATAATATTATGGAAAAGTTGTTTTAACTTCCATAATTCCATTAAAAAAGTTAATATTTAATAGATGATAGATTCAGGGCCCACAATTTAAACAATTTCAAGTATTCATTTGTTTATTTTTACATAATTTTGGCTTCCAGCTCATGAAACCCACAATAACAGGATTTCAAAAAATTAGAATACTGTGGCGAAATCAGCCCAAATGTTGCAGGGCATGAATGTTTTAAACTGAGTGTGACACTAATCATCTACTAAACTCAAAGCACCTGCACAGGTTTCCCCAGGTGTCATTAAATTGCTTCAGTTTGGATCAATATGGGGAAGACTGCAGACATGACAACTGGCCAGAAGACCATCATTGATGCCCTCCATAGGATGGGTAAGACACAACAGTTCATAGCTAAGGAGGCTGGCTGTTCACAGAGTGCTGTGTCCAAGCACATCAATGGAAAGTCTAGTGGAAGGGCAAAATGTGGCAGGAGAAGATGCACCAGCAAAAGAGATGACCGTGGGCTTCAGCGGATTATCAAACAGAGAAGATCCAGAATCTGGCAGAGATCCAGAAAGAGTGGAATGTGGCGGGTCACAGCTTCAAAAACCACCACATTCAGACGCATCCGGGAGATGAATAGAACTGTCGGGTTCCTCGGGCCTCTTTTCAGATGAAAGTAAAGTGTGCCTTTCATTCGGAAATCAAGGTCCAGGGGTTTGGAGGAAGAAGGGTGAGGAACAGAACCCATACTGCTTCAGGTCCAGTGTGAAATATCCACAGTCAGTCATGATTTGAGGTGCAATGTCCGGTGCAGGTGTTGGTAAACTCTGCTTTCTTAAATCCAAGGTCACCGCAACAGTCCAGTGCCAGAATGTTTTAGAGGACTTCATGATTCCTTCTCTTGAGGATCTGTATGGAGATACAGATTTCATCTTCCAGCAGGACATGGCCCCTGCCCATGCCGCTAGAAGCACCAAACCTGGTTTGATGCCACAGTGCTTGACTAGCCAGCCAACTGGCCGGACATAAACCCCATTGAGAATCTATGGAGTATTCTCAAGAGGAGCATGAGGGGCATCAGACCCAACAACAAAGAAGAGCTGACAGCAAGCGTCAAGGAAATCTGGGCTTCCATAACTCCCAGTCAATGCCACAAGCTGATTGTCTCAATGCCACGTCACATCGAGGCAGAGATTAAGACAAAGGGATTCACAACCAAGTATTGAAGATTGACATATTGAGTTGAAAGAACCATATTTTGATTATTTGTTGTGATCCTGATTTATTTCTTTTTTTTCTACAAAAACTGAGAAGTAGTGTGGGCTGAGGTCTTCACAGTATTCTAATTTTTTGAATTACTGTTTTCATGGGTTTCATGAGCTGGAAGCCTAAATTATGTAAAAATAAATACTTGAAATTGTTTAAATTATGGGCCCTGAATCTATCATCTATTAAATATTAACTTTTTGAATAGAATTATGGAAGTTAAACAACTTTTCCATGATATTCTAATTTTTTGGAAAGGGTCTGTACAGATCCCTCTCAAAAAATTAGCATATTGTAATAAAGGTCATTATTTTCCATAATGTAATGATAAAAATTAAACTTTCATATATTTCAGATTCATTGCACACCAACTGAAATATTTCAGGTCTTTAATTGTTTTAATACTGATGATTATGGCATACAGCTCAAGAAAACCCAAAATGTCTGTCCCAAAAAATTAGCATATCATGAAAAGGTTCTCTAAACAAGCTATTAACCTAACCATCTGAATCAACGACATAACTCTAAACACCTGCAAAAGATTCCTGAGGCTTTTAAAAACTCCCAGCCTTGTTCATTACTCAAAACCGCAATCATGGGTAAGAATGCCAACCTGACTGCTGTCCAGAAGGCCATCATTGACACCCTCAAGCAAGAGGGTAAGACACAGAAAGAAATTGCTGAACCAATAGGCTGTTCCCAGAGTGCTGCATCAAGGCACCTCAGTGGGAAGTCTGTGGGAAGGGAAAAGTGTGGCAGAAAACGCTGCACAACGAGAAGAGGTGACCGGACCCTGAGGAGGATTGTGGAGAAGGGCCGATTCCAGACCTTGGGGGACCTGCGGAAGCAGTGGACTGAGTCTGGAGTAGAAACATCCAGAGCCACCGTGCACAGGCGTGTGCAGGAAATGGGCTACAGGTGCCGCATTCCCCGGGTCAAACCACTTTTGAACAAGAGACTGCGTCAGAAGCATCTCACCTGGGACTGCTGCTGAGTGGTCCAAAGTTATGTTCTCTGATTACAGTAAATTTTGCATTTCCTTTGGAAATCAAGGTCCCAGAGTCTGGAGGAAGAGAGGAGACACAGAATTCACATTGCTTGAGGTCCAGTGTCAAGTTTCCACAGTCACTGGGGTGTCATGTCAGCTGCTGGTGTTGGTCCACTGTGTTTTATCAAGGGCAGGGTCAATGCAGCTAGCTATCAGGAGATTTTGGAGCACTTCATGCTTCCATCTGCTGAAAAGCTTTATGGAGATGAAGATTTCATTTTTCAGCACGACCTGGCACCTGCTCACAGTGCCAAAACCACTGGTAAATGGTTTACTGACCATGGTATTACTGTGCTCAATTGGCCTGCCAACTCTCCTGACTTGAACCCCATAGAGAACCTGTGGGATATTGTGAAGAGAAAGTTGAGAGACGCAAGACCCAACACTCTGGATGAGCTTAAGGCCGCTATCGAAGCATCCTGGGCCTCCATAACACCTCAGCAGTGCCACAGGCTGATTACCTCCATGCCACGCCGCAATGAAGCAGTCATTCATGCAAAAGGATTCCCGACCAAGTATTGAGTGCATAACTGAACATGATTATTTGAAGGTTGGCGTTTTTTGTATTAAAAACACTTGTCTTTCATTGGTGGGATGAAATATGCTAATTTTTTGGGACGGGCATTTTGGGTTTTCATGAGCTGTATGCCATAATCATCAGTATTAAAACAATTAAAGACCTGAAATATTTCAGTTGGTGTGCAATGAATCTGAAATATATGAAAGTTTCATTTTTATCATTACATTATGGAAAATAATGACCTTTATCACAATATGCTCATTTTTTGAGAAGGACCTGTATATCGTAATTCATCTTAGAATATTGAGATATTAATTTTAGTCCATATCACCCAGCCCTAGTCCAGAGTCGTTTTACTAATGTGCATATGTAAAATCAGGCGCCACATGCTCAAATACAATCAGAGTCATTTCTGGTTTTCATGGTTGATGTTCAACTCCAGTGTTTTGCTCCTTTACAGTTGCTTTTAATTGACTTTTATATACAAAAGTAATTATAATTTCAAAAGGTCCATTGGGTGGTCCCACGCACTTTCTGCTCAATTCTTAGAACCTACTCAGCCAAAGTTCCAAGCAAACAGAATCAAGCTGAAGATTGACGTCAGCAGACTGCAAGTCACTGATTATACAGAGAGATGTCCATCATGAGAATGTCTCCTTCATGAGAGTCAAACCCAGCATCTTTAAAGCCTCACCACCACAGCATTCTGTTGCTGTTTACAGTTCAAAAATATATATGATGCATCCATTAAATGGAAACATTGTGGTACTACATGGAGGTACAGACATTTCCTTGATTTTTGTCTGATGATAGAATTTAGACTGAAATCCAGTTCCAAATGTATTTTTGGATCAATTTATGGGTTGTGACCAGTGGAGGGAAGGTGGCTTGGACATGGCCACAAAAGTTCTTGAAACGGTTCAGAGGACTGCGAGTGTTTTATGACTTTATTTCTCCTTTACTTACTTGATGGTGGCAACAACCTGCCTACACTGGGGCAATTTGTCTCATCTTTCTTTATTCACAATCATCTTGTTTAATAAAAACAAGACTAATGTTCAAAAGAAAAGACAATGGCACCAAAAAATTTTACAGGTCCAGTTTCTGAAGTCTTCATCTAGATAAAGTTGTGTTTCTGCTCACGCTCTCGTGTAAAAGCAGATTTTGAAATAATGTGTTGTTTAACAGAAGCACTGTTTGTTTTTTTAATTTGTCTATTTCTGAAATCAGAGTTCTGAAAACAGATTCTGGTGCACGTAATCCACTTGTTGCACAGATCAGCATGTATGTAAACAGCACACAGGGCATTTTGTCTGTAACAACTAATCTTCCATCACCTCAGTGAGATAAGACTAAATATTTGGATATCTTAAATAAAACAAGTTGTTTTCCCCTTTTTTAAAAACTAGTGTCTAGATAAGACAATGAGAGGTCCAGGAAATCATGCATGAATTTATTTTCCTCCTCTGCGTGTGTTCACCTGATACAGCCATCCCCTGACTCATGTTGTAGGCCGCCCCTGTGTTCCACATGTTCTCCGAAGGGGAGGTGTAGTGTGAGCCAGGTGGGGGGTTGGGGGTGGTGCCTGTGTACCTGCAAACATACACATGAACAATTGTTTGGTATCAACTCCACAGGAAGTCCCATGGGACTGAACAACCTGTGGACACCTGTTTCTACTGCGATTGCAGTTGAGCCACACTGTTAATATTTGTATTTATAGACGCAAATTTTCTGTTCTGTTGGTTTTTAAGCAAGTGTTGACAATGAAGTGAGAGTAAATGGGATTGAAGGTTCTTTATTTGTCATTCATGTGGCCCTGTCATGGACTGAAGACCTGTTCAGGTGTCTGTATGATAGACTGAAGACCTGTCCAGGTGTCCCCTGCCTTTCACACAGTGACTGCTGGACATGAGCACCAGTGACCCCCATAACCGGGAAAGTAAGAAGCAGATAAAGCTAATGGATGGATGTGTCTGTAAATTTAGTTTCATTATTAAAATTATTTATTTTTAAAAATCTGTCTGATATTTGTTTTCTTAGGTGAAATTATTAGATGCAGGAATGAATTGTATTGAAAAATATTAACTTTTTTTATTGGCTTTACAATGCACCTTGTGGGGATAACTACCAACTGCAAGAGATGCACTGATTTTCCTTGGAATGGCTTTATTTTTATTTTACTTTTTGTGAAAAACATTTTACGTTTCAACGTAAATAAAATTTTTAGCTGGAATCTTCAGTCTTTGTTGAATTTTCTATTACACAAGGGAAAAAAAAATCAGACTTCCTTTAGTTGCCTTTGCTGTTACCTCTTCAGTGGTCACCATCACAAGTCCTCCTCCTCCTTCCTCTCACTCTGTCCTCTGTACTTACCGGTACTCCAATCACCTCCATGTCCTCTCTAACCGAGATGTTGGATGCTGTCTTTCATGGTGCACTAAGATTCATAACTGGTTTTAACTACCGTACCCACCATTGCACCCTGTATTCACTGGTTAACTGGTCATCATTAACTTCACGTAGACTCTCTCACTGGTACATTTTCATTTTTAAATCACTTCTTGGACTGTTGCCTTCATACATCTCCTATTACAGTACATGTCACTACATCAATGCGGCTACAACGTGCTCTCTCAAGACCTAATTACCTGCAGTGTACCTTCAGGATGAACCGAACTAGGCAAAAGGGCCTTCTCTTACTCCACTCCTGTATCCTGGAATAACTTGCAAAAAGATCTGAAGCTCTTGACTTTGACCGCTCCAAGAGATTTTAAACAACTGCTAAGTTCATGGCAAAAACCAATGCAGATATGTTCCTGTTTTTAGTATTTTACACCGTTTTATAATGTAGCATATTTATGATTTTGTTTTACATCACATCTTTTATTTACTTTTCACTTTACAGAGGGGCAAAAAAGTACAGTATTTAGTCAGCCACTAATTGTGTAAGTTCTCCTACTTAAGATGAGAGAGGTATGCAATTTTCATTATAGGTAAACTTCAACTATGAGACAAAAAATTAGGAAAAAATAATCCAGGAAATCACATTGTAGGATTTTATAAGAATTTATTTGTAAATTACAGTAGAAAATAAGTATTTGGTCAATAACAAAAGTTAAACTCAATACTTTGTAACATAACCTTTGTTGGCAATGACAAAGGTCAAACGATTCCTATACCATACCATACCACTTATAAAGCACTTAAAACAGCTACAAAGCCAACCAAATTGCTGTACAGACAAAACAGCACATACAGTGAGGAAAATAAGTATTTGAACACCCTGCGACTTTGCACGTTCTCCCACTTAGAAATCATGGAGGGGTCTGAAATGTTCATCTTAAGTGCATGTCCACTGTGAGAGACATAATCTAAAAGAAAAATCCGGAAATCACAATGTATGATTTTTTAATAATTTATTTGTGTGTTACTGCTGAAAATAAGTATTTGGACACCTGTGAAAATTAATGCTAATATTTGGTACAGTAACTTTGTTTGAAGTTACAGAGGTCAAAGGTTTCCTGTAGTGTTTCAGCAGGTTTGCACACACTGCAGCAGAGATTTTGGGCCATTCCTCCACAGATCTTCTCTAGATCAACCAGGTTTATGGGCTGTTGCTGAGAAACAGAGTTTGAGCTCCCTCCAAAGATTTTCTATAGGGTTTAGGTCTGGAGACTGGCTAGGCCACTCCAGAACCTTGATCTGCTTCTTACGGAGCCACTCCTTGGTTCTCCTGGCTGTGTGCTTTGGGTCATTGTCTTGTTGGAAGACCCAGCCACAACCCATCTTCAATGCTCTCACTGAGGGAAGGAGGTTGTTCCCCAAAATCTCTCACTACATGGCCCTGGTCATCCTCTCCTTAATACAGTGCAGTCGTCCTGTCTCTTGTGCAGAAAAACACCCCCAAAGCATGATGCTTCCTCCCCCATGCTTCACAGTAGGGATGGTTTTTTTGGGATGGTACTCATCATTCTTTGTCCTCCAAACACGGCGAGTGGAATTAAGACCAAAAAGTTCTATTTTGGTCTCATCTGACCACAGAACTTTCTCCCATGACTCCTCTGGATCATCCAAATGGTCATGGGCAAACTTAAGACGGGCCTGGACGTGTGCTGATTTAAGCAGGGGAACCTTCCGTGCCATGCGTGATTTTAAACTATGACGTCTTAGTTTATTACCCACAGTAGCCTTGGAAACAGTGGTGCCAGCTCTCATCAGGTCATTGACCAGCTCCTCCTGTGTAGTTCTGGGCTGATTCCTCACCTTTCTTAGGATCATTGATACGCCACGAGGTGAGATCTTGCATGGAGCCCCAGTCCGAGGGAGATGACAGTCATGTTTAACTTCTTCCATTTTCTAATAGTTGCTCCAACAGTTGATCTTTTTTCACCAAGCTGCTTGGCAATTGCCCCGTAGTCCTTTCCAGCCTTGTGGAGGTCTACAATTTTGTCTCTGGTGTCTTTGGACAGCTCTTTGGTCTTAGTCATGTTAGTAGTTGGAGTCTTACTGATTGTGTGGGGTGGACAGGTGTCTTTATGCAGCTACCGACCTCAAACAGGTGCTTCTAATTTAGAATAATAAGTGGAGTGGAGGTGGACGTTATAGAGGAGGACTAACAGGTCTTTGAGGGCCAGAACTGTTGCTGATTGGCAGGTGTTTAAATACTTATTTGCAGCAGTAACATACAAATGAATTATTAAAAAAATCATACATTGTGATTTCCGGATTTTTCTTTTAGATTATGTCTCTCACAGTGGACATGCACCTAAGATAAAAAATTCAGACCCCTCCATGATTTCTAAGTGGGAGAACTTGCAAAGTCGCAGGGTGTTCAAATACTTATTTTCCTCACTATAACACACAAAGCAAAATACAAAATGAGGTAAATCAGAATATAGACAAAAAACGATGCAGATAATGACGACAAACTATTGTATAGCATACAGGTTCAAAACACAGATCATCTGGTGTTGAAAGCTATTGAATAGTAGTGAGTTTTTAAACGGGACTTGAAAACCGAGAGGGAGGGGGTCTGTCTGACAAGCAGAGGTAACTCGTTCCAGAATCTTGGTCCTGCTACAGAGAAGGCCCTGTCACCTCTGCGCTTAAGACGAGATCCTGGAACTGTGAGGAGCAACTGGTCCGCTGACCTCAGGGAGCGTGGTGGGACATACGGTTGTAGCAGATCAGAGAGATGGGGGGGCGACACTGTTCAGTGATTTGTAGACATACATGAGTATTTTGAACTGGATTCGAAAGTGAACTGGTAACCAGTGCAGTGAGGCCAAAACTGGTGTAATGTGCTCTATTTTGCCTGTACTGGTTAAAAATCGGGTTGCTGCATTCTGGACCAGTTGTAGTCGTGCAATGGAGGTCTGACTGATACCAAACAGGAGCGAATTGCAGTAATCAAGCCTAGATGTAATGAATGCATGTATTACTGTCTCCAGGTTATTTTTGGACAATATGGGCTTCAGTTTAGACAGCCGCCTCAGTTGGAAGAAACATGATTCAACATCATGTTTACATGATTGTTAAGTTTCAGGGAAGGGTCCATTATCACGCCCAGATTAGTGACTCTGTTTTTCTGACAGGGTTAGAGCGGAGAGGTCGATGCAGTGGTTTGTGATCGTGTCGTTGGGAGGGAACAACATGACTTCAGACTTATTTTCATTGAAACTTAAGAAGTTTAAAGCCATCCAGTCCCTGATGTCAGCCAGGCAGTTGAGCAGCGGTTGAATAGAGCATGTGCCATTGTGTCTTAGGGGGAAGTAAATTTGACAGTCATCGGCATAGAAGTGGAAGGACATGTTGTGTTTCCGGAAAATAGCCGGAAAGATTATTCCTGTAAGTCTTCACTAGGTTTTTGCACACTGTAGCTGCTATTTTGGCCCATTCCTCCATCAGATCTCCTCTAGAGCAGTGATGTTTTGGGGCTGTCGCTGGGCAACAAACTTTTAACTCCCTCCACAAATTTTCTATGGGGTTGAGGTCTGGAGACTGGCTAGGCCACTCAAGGACCTTGAAATGCATTTTACAGAGCCACTCCTTCATTGCCCGAGCGGTATGTTTGGTATCATCATGCTAGAAGACCCAGCCACATTCCATCTTCAACGCTCTCACTGATGGAGGTTTTAGCTTAAAATCTCACGATACATGGCCATCCTGTCCCCTTTGCACAAAAACAGCCCCAAAGCATGATGTTTCCACCCCCATGCTTCACAGTAGGTATGGTGTTCTTGGGATGCAACTCAGCATTCTTCTTCCTCCAAACACAACGAGTTGAGTTTTTACCAAAAAGTTCTACTTTGTTTTCATCTGACCACATGATATTCTCCCAATCCTCTTCTGGATCGTCCATATTCTCTCTGGCAAACTTCAGACGGGCCTGTACATGTACTGGCTTAAGCAGGGGAACAGGCTTGGCACTGCAGAATTTGAGTCTCTCTCAGCATAGTGTGTTACTGATGGTAGCCTTTGTTACTTTGGTCCCAGCTCTCTGCAGGTCATTCATCAGGTCTCTCCGTGTAGTTCGGGGATTTTTGCGCACACTTTTCATAATCATTTTGACCCCACAGGATGAGATCTTG